TTCTGTGTTGCACTGTTGAAAAGAGACTTCTTGTTGCTGCTGATTTCAGCTGGCAGAAGGGCTACATAAGGCATATTGCATGTACTACAGTCTGCTGGCAACCTAAGCTGCAGTAGAGTTCTTCAGGGATGGCAAAGGGAGGTAGCAGTGTTCCCTTCAAGCTTTGTGCTTGTGCAGCCAGCCACTCAGGAGAGATTCCAGTGCTGCCCGGCTGATTAGCAGAGCAGATTTTTTTGTTTCTATTGGTGGTGCACATTTGCACATGCCTGGGTGCACGGGCATAATTATCTTGCACATGGATGGAAAAAAAATTAGAGGGAACATTGCAGGTGGGCCCATGCTATTGAACCTGTAGGTCCACAGGAGCCTGCAGCATCTAAGTTTGCTGCTGAAGAAACCCCATTATGTCCTGGTGCAGCTCCCTCTGGGACTTCTGGGCCTTTCTCCTGGGCACTCCTTCCTTCTCCAGGCGGTCTGCAGTGTTCACCCTCCAGGCCCTTTGCGCACGGCCTGGGGCAATGCTGGCTTGCAGGAGCTCAGTGAACACATCATCTCAAGTCCTTTCTCCTCATCTGACTCAGCCGTTCCATGGGGGTGGAGGGGAAACCCCGCAAGGCTACAATGGCAGCAGCTGCAGATACAACACCCCGAGGTACCAGTATAGTCCCCTTGGAAAGCGAAAAGGAGGACTCAGAACTCCCTTTCCTCACTCCCCTGGTGTTTTAAACAAGACCTGCTCACTGCTGTTCTGCTTCCGAGTACTTGTGCATGGTGCTGCTCCCAGCACCAGCAGCGGTAAGAATGGCCTGTCCGAGGCAAGGGAAAGGAGGGAATTGCTCGAGTACCTGAAATGCTGAATGTAGGGTGGCACAGGCACTGAATAGGGGCCCTCAGTTCCATAGGCAGTGGCGGTTTTAGCTGCTATCTCATCGCGAGAGTGATAAAGACACAAAAGGCACAACTGCTGCAGGCATCCCGAAGCTGCTGCAGGTCCATAGGCTGCTAGTCTGTGCACTGCACCGGTGCCTGCCGAAGTCAGCACTGACTGGCCTAGGTATGTGTCCTGTGGCTGCTGTGCCTACAAACCTTCAGGAGCGGACCACAGAGCACCCAATGGAAGCTGCATCCAGATCTCTCAGGAGGTTTCAAGGGACATCCCTGTGTGCATAAACTACATGCCCTACATGGCGCCTCACCTCGCTGCACAGGGGTATCTGTCAGAGAGCAGATAGCGCCTCCTCTCTTACTTGTTCTGCTGCCTCGTTATGAGCACGTGGCTGAAAAGTCAAGAGCTGTGTCCTGCTAAGTGGGGGCCCATCCGTGCATCACTGCAGTGGGAAATACATTCACACGCTTACACCAGGCTCCTTCTCCTGCATCAGGCTCCCCAGTGCTCGACTGCTGGGCCTGACTGGCCTGCAGCGGAGTCTTAAACCGGTCCTGGCAAGCAACGTTGTCCTCTTCCACGTGCTCTTCATCCTTGCTGTTCACTCTGGGGTGTGTGACTTGGTCTCCTTGGCAGTATCCGTGGTTGTGTGAAGGGTGGTGGAGGAGTCTCCAAGAAAGTCTGGGATGCAGCTCTTTGCAAAAGCAGGTGGTCTGCTTATATGCCTCCCTAGCAGGGGCGGCCCGTGAGTATAGGCAGACTCAGCAGTCACCTAGGGCACCGCCTTCAACGGGGCACCCAGGGCACCCGATGATGACATCACGGGGCGCCAGGGGTGCCCCAATGATGACATCATGGCCATTGACGGCCGTGCAGGTGGGGGCGCCAATCGCACATTTCGCCTGGGGCGCCAGCTGCCGCAGCCGGCCTCAGGCCACTCCTGCTCCCTAGTCTTCTGGTATGTGTGCTGCTCTCCCTCACTCTGACGTGGTGCTGCTGCTGGTCCCTGTCATGCCCCATCTCCTGCGTTCCCTGTGCAATCTGCTCGGAGAAGTCCACATTTCTACAGCTGGTCTGTAGCTGTGCTTGCACAGCCTCTTCTCCCCCCTGGCCCGGCAGATCCAATATCTCCTGTCTGCTCCGAGCTGGAGTTTGTCTGTTGTGTGTGGCCAGCATTGCCAGCTGGGCAGCTGCCCATAACAGTGGAGAGTTGCTAGGTGGATGCCAAGCTGGCCAATCAGGAAAAAGCATTTCAAACACTCACAGGGCTTTAAAACAGGCGGGGGAGGGACTTCCGGCCTCTGTGACCCCAGACAGTGTAGTGCACAAGTGTGACAGGAGCAGACACTGTGGAACAACAGCTGGAGGATTGTCATGTTCAACACAGGTAATGCAGCGTCTAGGCTCACACTACATTTATCTCCAAACATTAACCAGGGCTCAACGCTGCTCAGGGACATAGTTTCACGGCATGGCTGTAATGGAGCACTTACATCGGTGCTCCAACAGTGGCAACTAATGTAAGTGTAGCCATGTAACCCACACACCTAAGCTATGTCTACACTGGCGGGTTCTTGCGCAAGAATGGCTGTTCTTGCGCAAGAACCCACAGCGCGTCCACATGGCCCACTCACTCTTGCGCAAGAAGATTTACAGTAAAGCATGGGAAGACAGGGCTTCTTGCGCTCCCTTCCCACTGCCGGGGGAGGTGCATGTCCGCACCCTGCCCTCGCGAGTAGAGACGTGGCGAGCAGAACTGAGCCCCGCTCCCCAGCTGTTCTTCTGGGGAGAGGCTGGGAGGAGAACCCAGAATAAAGGAGCTCTACAGCCTAAGCTGAGAAGCAGCTGGCTTTATAGTGCCAGCTGTAGCGGCTCCTATACTAACCTCCAGAGGTCCTAGGTTCAGATCTGTCTGGTGGTGATTACAGATGCATGTACTAGATTGACTGAAGGCAGCTTATGTCTCCCTAACCTTGTAGCCCAGACCGGGTCCTGCTGTGTAAACAGACACCCTGACCGGGGTGGCTGGAAGGAAGCGCTGGCCTTGCTTTTGACCTGGGGGATTTAGACACAGAGAAGAAAAGTGATTTGTCCAAGGTAGGCTGTCGTGGAGTGAGGAGTGAAATCCAGCTCTCCTGAGATGCAGTGCAGGGTGCTAAGACAGCGCAGTAACCCCTGGCTTGTCCAGGGCAATAGTAAATACAGGAGCAAAACTGCCCTGTCAGAAGATGGAAGAGATGACTCTCTCTGATCTACTGCCATCCTCATGCTGATTTATTGGTGTGTTTCACTGTGGCCCCTGCGTGTTCAGGTCACTGGGATGCTGAGTCCAGTGCATTCTGGGTAAGCCTGGGCGCACTCAGCCATCTGTGGGGAAGGGAGGGGCAAAGGCCATTATTTCCTGGCTGCAGGTGGCTGTGAAAAACTGTTCTGGGCTAAGACTAAAAACACACACGGGCCTGTGCCACGTGTGGTGCGGATGCCATCATTTGCCCCATTGAGAACTGACCTTCACCTCCAAACATCAACCGGGGCTCAACGCTGCTCAGAGACATAGTGTCACGGCATAGCTGTAATGGAGCACTTACATCGGTGCTCCAACAGTGGCAACTAATGTAAGTGTAGCCATGTAACCCACACACCTAGGCTATGTCTACACTGGCGGGTTCTTGCGCAAGAATGGCTGGGAAGGGGGGAGACAAGAAAGGGGAGGGAGAAGCCCATTTGTGCAGCACATTTTCCCGCAAGAGCTACGCCCTTTTCTAACAAAGCACATGGCAGTGTGGCCGTGTTCTTGTGCAAGATGTTCTTAAGCAAGAACCCGCCAGTGTAGACATAGCCCTAGTGTGGTTCGCTGTCCCATGTAGTGGCACTTCGACCACATACAGTGAGAAATAAGAATAAAGGAGCTCTACAGCCTAAGCTGAGAAGCAGCTGGCTTTATAGTGCCAGCTGTAGCGCCATATAAGAGCAGGGCATTTGGTCACTAGCCACCTGGGTCTGGGCTGGAACTACTTGGAGCCTCGTGCTCAACCTCTGGAGCCAGTGCAGCTCTCTCTGACCCATTAAGGACTGACAAGACATTCGAAACCGAGGGCCACTAGTTCGGTGATTCCTCATGGACCTAGACTCCTCAGCGAGCGGCCTGGCCTTCAAAAGTCCTAACCACCCAGAAATCAGCACTTCATTGGGTGCTTGGAAAGCCTGGCCAGCAGCCCACTTCCTGAGCTGCCTTTAGGTGAGAGCCTAATGTCAGACACCCCCGTTTGATGACCGGCCGTCTGGGCAAGGCTGGGGGGACGTGCTGATCCTGTGAAGCCTTTCGCTGATAAAACACCTCCCAAGCAGCTGTGCCTGAGTCAGAGCTGCAGAAGCTGGTACTGAAGGGTTAGTTTTGTAAACACTCTATTAGCCGTCTGAGTGTCCACCGGCCCCTCCGCTGTGGAAGGTGTAACTTCAGGTGGGAGGGATAAGGGGGACGGTGACAGCACTGGATGGGCATTCTCTGTGCCTTAGGAGACGCACTCCAGTAATGGTCCCACACAGTATTGCCTAAAATCAGAGCACTGCAGGGATGGGGCTATAACTGCAGTGGGCCCTTGAGGGGTGGCAATGCTTCCTTTGCCAGAGAAATGAGAGAGAGAGAAATGAGAGAGAGAGAGAGAGAGAGAGAGGGGCGTGGAGCCCTGTTCTTTCAATCCGTCCCACCCTGGACAGGTGTGTGTGTGTGTGTGTGTGTGTGTCTTGTACGTGCAACTTGTGCATTGGTGCCTGTTAAGGAGCCGCTAGTGTCCTCTTGTACCCTCCCTGGCCCGGTGACAGCCTGGCTCTGGCTGCCCGCCAAGGCTCTGCACAGAGGACAGTAGATGTGCTAGAGGACTTGGCTAAGGTTCTTCCCTGGTTTCCTTTGGTATCTGTCAGACAATTGTGGAGCAGGAGCGCGCTCGGTTTGGAAAGGAATAAGGGCTATTTCTCCCTCTTTCCCCTTTCTCTGTCTCCTGCCTGCTCTCTGGGCTGCTCTCTCCCTCACTCCCTCCCTCTCTGGTGTGAAGGGGTGTGTGTGTGTGCGTGTGTGTGTGTGTGTTTTCAGAAAGCTCAGTGTCTCGGAGGAAGGAGGAGAGAGAGACAGAGCCGCGCTAGCTGCCTCCAGGATCCTCTCCCAGCCTCGAGCAGCCGAGATGGGAACAGTCCTCGCTGTTTCCAGGGCAGCCTTTCGACGGACACGACAAAGATACAACATTCACTCCTAAAGGACGAGGAGCAGAGGGGCGTTTGCATCTCCCAGCTCCTTGCACCCGGGCTGTCACTAGGAATTTCAGGGGTTGCTCTGATGTGAGACTGATACCCCCATACTGTTTTTTATCGTTAGTATTTTCCTCTCCTCCTCTTTTCCTTCCCTCACCCTTCCATCCCACCCCGAGCCCTTGGCTCAGCCGGTGGCTTGTTCTAGTAGTGGGGTTAGCTCGAGGGGGAGCTGTTTAGTGAGGAGGGGGCGACTCGTCTTTTCCCACGGGCAGACGGAGCAATGCAGCTTGTGTCCTCGCATCTGGCTGGGTATTTCTGAACACTCTCCTTGCTGCGTCTCCGGCGGAGAGGGGCTTTTCCCCTCTCAGGAGGCGGGCGAGGAGCTAACCGGCCTTCGTCCCCAGTGACAAGACAACTGCCATGGCGAGCGGGAGCAGCACCCGGATGGAACGGGGTTATGTCTTCGCATTCTGTTGCCTGGTTCTGTTGGACCCGGGGTGGGTTTGGACCAGGGCTCCCAGCACCCAGGATCCTGAGCTGGAGGGACAGATGGAGAGCAATGGCAGCACCAGCTGGAGTCCCACCTTGGAGGACACTGTGGTGGCTCCCACTGAGGCTGTACCAGGAGGTGACCGGTGCCGTGGCTACTACGATGTCATGGGGCAATGGGACCCTCCCTTCAATTGCAACTCAGGGATCTACCGGTACTGCTGCGGGACCTGTGGGTACCGTTTCTGCTGCCAGTTCAAGCATGGGCGGCTGGACCAAAGTGGATGCTCCAATTATGACACCCCCAACTGGGTCAACACAGGCCAGCCACCAGCCCGGGTGGATGAGACCCCTGAGGATCCTACCCGGGACAAGACCAACATGATTGTATATATCATTTGCGGCGTGGTGGCCATCATGGTGCTGGTGGGCATCTTCACCAAGCTGGGCCTGGAAAAATCACGGAGCCCCCCAACAGAGATGACCATGTCCAGGTAAAAGGGACCTCACCCCTTCCTTTCCTCTCTCTCTGTCCCTCCTCCCTCAGTTTCCCTCCACAGCGGGTAGATGATACTTCTAGTCTTCCCCTCTTGGCTGTGTTTTTACCTTCCTGTCCAGAGGGCAAGACCCAGTCCAGCCCAGACTCCCCACAGTGACCTACCATCCCTCAAACCTTCCTTGATTTTGGCTCTGAACTGTGAGAAGCAAATCTATGGGGCAGCCAGGTGTCTGAAACACAGAGGAGGGAGAGGAATGAGGCAAGCGGGTAGAAATCTGAGTGGCCGGGTAAAGCTGGGCAAAGGGAAATTCAGACAGGAGATCAGGAGCCCTTTCCTACCAGTGAATGTACTGGGTTATGAACTAGCCCCCCACGAGGAGTGGGGGGTGTGGAAGACCCATTACTTGGGTCATTTAAGAGAGGCTAGGAGGACATTCTTCGAGGAATAGCCCTCAGGGTATGGACTAGACATGTTCTACTCTAATGGGTCTCCTCCAACCCGGATTTCTGTGATTCTAAGTGTCAGGCTCATAGTTTTGCCATCTGTTTGGGGGCATTTCACAATTGGCTTCTATGCAGGGTGATTACTTACAATGAATGTCTCGGCTTTCACCGAGTCCTGCTTTGGGAGGGAGCTCACGGAGCAGCTGCATTCCTTTTCTGTCCTGTCAAAGGGGTGTGTGCAAGCATCTGTGTGTGCACACGCATCGGGGTGTTTACTACATGACCCTCGGGAAGCTGGGCTACAAATGCTGCCCAGGCTGGTTTTGATCGTGCTGTGGGGAGAAAGTTCAGGCAAGACACCTCCCTCTCCGGCAGGACGGTTTTGCTACTGGGCAGGTGACAGGAGGGGGCAGGCTGAAGGGCCGGGTGGGGGAGAGGGATTAGGACTGCAGGCTGGGACTCTTCTCAATCTCCGTCTCTTCTCTTTTGTCCAGCAAGTACAAGGGGCCAAACTTGCGAGCAAGGGGGGAGGGAGAGTTACAGGATTCCCCCCCAACCCTGCCACTTCCTTCACCGACTCTCTCATCTTCTCTGCATTGCTGTCTGTCTGTCCGTCCCGCCCTGTGTTACGACTTCTCGCTCTTTTCTTCTCTGGTGCCTGCTCACTTCACATGTCAGTTCTCGACTTCAAATAAATGTTCCTGTCGTGTTCCCAGAGCGGGCGCGAAGCAGAGGCAGACTAAGCAATTGCTCAGGGCCCCGCGCAGCTTGAGGAGGGGGCCCTCTATTCGCTTTTTATTGTGTTGTGGGGACGTTTCCTCTATTATTAACTCTGCACTCAGCCTCCCTCGCCCCCTCAGGGAACGTTACACCCCCTCCCCCCGCAAGGGAAGGTTCAGTCCCGGCTCCTGGCTGAAGTGTGTCACCCCTCAGCCATTCCTTCCTGCCTCCCCCACGTTGGCCTCCAAAGGCCCAACAAAGCCCGTTCCCTTGCTGGCAGTGTTCTGCTGGGGGAGGCAGTGGGGGCTGCAGGGGCTTGTCCATGGTGAAAGGCAGCGCGCGTGTGTGTGTAACTAGGTGTGGGGTGGGGCTAGAAGAGGAAGACAAATGCACCTGAAAGGCCAGCTCTTTGAAATGCCAGTGTCTCCCCATTTCTTCCTCCTGTGGCCGGACAGGAGAACATGAGACCTTGCCTAACACTTGACACTAGTGTGCCTGGAGAGTAGAGGGGGGACAGCCAGTGAGGTGCGTAGTGGGGAAAATACTAAGGGCGGCAGTGTGTTGCCCATCTGCACACACAGCCTGGGGGATCTCACAGCCTTGCGCCTGTGACCAGCTGCTCCACTGGGTCCTGTTGAGTGGCAGGCGGGGCGAGAGCTGCTAAGGAGCTGCAGCCAGGGAGAGCAACTCGAACCAAACTCCGTAGTAAAGTCATGACTTCCGGGCACCAGGTCTCTCAAGCTGGCCGGTGTGTTGTGCTGTGTCCAGCATTGCCATGTGGCGCGTGACCCGATGCAGGTGTGTGGTGCCATTCGGTGTATTCCCCCCTCAGGCGCACTCTGAACAGCCTTGCCCTGAGATTTCGGAGCAGGTGCTGGCTCTCGGGAGAAGCCTGCAAATGCTGCCTTGATTGCTTGTGAGGGTCGGATCCTCCACTGGCTTCAGGGTACACCCATCTCGGGGCAGGCATGTGGTCTTTAAAGGTCCCACGGCACTTTTGGCAAGAGTCCAGGGGTTAAAAGTGGCACCTCAGTCAAATCCACCCTAGGCAACTGCACTGCTCCTCCCAAAGTCCTTCTCAAATGTCAGTGGAGGGGATGATGCTCATTTACCCAGCCTGCAGCTTGGCTGGATTATTCTGGTGGGTGAGCGTGGCTGTGGCATCGACCCCAGAGATGGCTGCACCTTCTGGACGCTTAGTGATCCCCAAACACTCATTCTGTGCAGCACTTTGGAATGAAAAGGAAATTGGGACTCTTGTTTCTTGCTACTGATCCGTCTCGGCCCCGGCTTTGTCACCAGGGTGGTGAGTTCCAAGACCCTAGACAATGTCCCATGTGGTGAGTTGTCTTCTAGGCTATTACACAGCTGATAGGGACTGTCTGTCAAGTGCTGCAGCGGGCCCCCCACTGGAACAGCAGAGGATGGTGCAAGACAGAGCTGACTGGAGTAGCAGGGAACTGGGGGTCAGGCCGGAGAGCGCGCTGGGGAGAGAGGAAAGGTGGCAGCAGTAGCAGCACAATTGACACAGATTTGTTGGTTTTACACTTTTGCAGCTTCTCTTTTCAATCTAGCTTCCTTTTTTTTTTTTTTTAGCAAGTCTAATGCGCGGCAGAGTAAGGTGCTAATCAGAGCAGCTGGAGCCCAGCAGGGTGCAGGGTTCACATGCAGAGCTCTGCCAATGCGGCTCAGCCCTGCCCCACTGCAGCCCCCCCCCCCAAGCCAGGCTTGGAGGTTCCACTCAGAGCCCTGCCAGCGTCCTTCACTCCTCACCTGTACCGCCTGCTAGCCCAGCCTTCCCCTGTCATGCCCCAACCACAGCTCTGCCAGGGCATCTCTCTCCTGACGCCTGCTGGCTGGTGCCAGAGCTCTTGGTAGCAGAAAGTGGCAGTTGTGCAGAAGTAAGGAAGTGGTATGATACTTACATTGGATGACAGGGCAAGAGAGATGGGGCCAGGTGTAGACAGAAGGCTACAGGGGGGAAAGGGTGAGGACAAAGGGAGAGAAGCTTAGAAACCTGAATCTATCAAGCGCCTGGCTGAGTTTCTAACCAGTGAGGGGCATGTTCTCAGTTTGCATATTATTGGCTAGGGAGGCTAGAGCTGGTGGCAAATCCCTGGTAGGGGGCTGAGTTGGGGACTCTAGTAAAAAGGCAGCGCTTGAAGAGATGACTGACCAAGACAGATCATGATCAGGAGAGCAGCTGTGATTGCTGCCCCTTAGTACTGCAGTATCTGGGGCCTTGTCACCCCTCCCCCTTGCTTTGTTATACAATTTTGTAGAAACTAAATGCCCCGTGTTCAGCCTCCAAACCAGGAGCAGCCCCTGCTCCCCCATGGCTGACAGCCCCTGAGTCAGCACTGAGAGAAGCCCCGCCTCCTGCCAGTCACTGACAGGAAAGCTCCGCCCCTCCCCAAGAGCTGACTCAGCCCAGCAGCTGGGCGTGATGGGTGTAGCAGAGCAGGCTGGGGTGGGTGGCAGGGTGATTACAGAATCCCTGGAGAGGCAGCTGCAGCTCAGGGGAGGAGACAAAAGGACTGGAGGAGGGAGCGCTGAGGAGGCGATGACAGGAACAAATAAAGGCAAGATTCTCCGGAGGGACGTCAGCCCCGTGCTCAGAGGGGACACGCTCAGCCCCAAGTGTAGCAAACAACAGGGCCATGTCCAAGGGATTGGTAGCAGCTAGCTGCCTGCTGAGCGAGGGTTGCCTGACTGTGGCAGAGGGCTAAGGAGGAAGCCAAGTGTTGTCCACCACGAAGCAGGCAGTACTAGGAGGGTTTGACTGGCCTAACATTTTGGTGACTCCAGATCCAGTTCACCCTTAGTGCATCTCTGCAATGAACCCCAGTCTTTTGTGTCTTCCCCCTCCCAGCTCCTCACTGTTCCTCTTTTCCCTGCCAAATCTACAGAATCCACCATACACACATACCCGCACCAGCCTCCCTCCGCTCCAGCTCCCCTGCCACGGGCTCACTGCAACTGGCCTTCTCCCCTGAGGGAGCCCTTGCAGTCTGGGTGCGTGGGGGCCTCTGAGTGCGGGTGTGCGCACGTGTGTTGCGCGCACTCGTTTGCCTGGCTGGGACAACTGGAGGAAGAACGCTGCATCCCCAGGGATGCTGCGATTACTCCTGTCATAACGCATCTCTCTCAGCTCCACTGGGGCGTATGGAGAAGGCCTGTTGCCTTTTCTGCAATGGGAGGGGTTGTGTGGCTGGGTGGGGCATGAACAATTCATGTATGGTTAAGGGGGATCGTCTAACCTCCCCCCAGTGGGAAAACCAATGGGGGGAGACTATCTGGTGGGCATTGGCTCTGTTTGCTGTATGGCCAGCAATGTGAGCTCCCTCTCAGGTGTGCCTATCTACACCCTTGAATTGGACTCGGTCGGTGCCCTACCAGCTTCATCCGCAAGATCCCCAGGAGCTATCCGCTGCCAGATCCAGCTGCTGGAATCTCAGCAACATGCTTTTCCCTTGCCTGCCCCTGTCCATGCCCCTGGGGCTGTGGTTAGTCAAATGACATCAGGGAGGGGGGTAATTTCCCACCTTCTGTGTGTCTAACAGGAAGAGAGAGTCGAGAGAGCATTTCTACGAAGCTGGGAGCGCTTAGCAGTGATATGCAGATACACCAGTATCCTAAAAGCTTTGCCAACTGTTGGGAGCCACATCTTCCAAGACCCATAATGAGAACCATCAGATATTTCTTCAGGACATGTGTGGTTGGGTTCCATTGATTGTATTTCTTGCCATCTGGGGGGTAACGTATGGCCTGTCTTCTTGGCAGATTGTCTCAATCAAAGGGAACTTATTTTTTTTACTTGTAGCCTGGATT